GTTTTATTATTAGAATCTGTTAGATTAGGTTATATCATTTAGATATATTAGTTAGCTCAAGTTATGTTAGGTTTATTTTGTCAAATTTGCCAAGTGAATTTAAGATCTTTAATTTTATTAGATTATGTTGCATCAATCAAATGTATCAGGTTAGGTTAAGTTAGTATTAATATAATATTAGATAAGGTTAATTTAACATTAATATAAAGCTAAATTAGGTTAAATTAACATTAATGTAATGTTGCGTTAGGTGAAATTAATGTTAATGTAATGTTAGGTTAGGTGAAGTTAATATTAATGTAATGATAGGTTAGGTTAATTTAACGTTAATGTAATGTTAGGTTAGGTGAAATTAATGTTAATGTAATATTAGGTTAGGTGAAGTTAATATTAATGTAATGATAGGTTAGGTTAATTTAACATTAATATAATGCTAGGTTAGGTTAAATTAACGTTAATGTAATGTTAGGTTAGGTTAATTTAACATTAATATAATGTTAGGTTAGGTTAAATTAACGTTAATGTAATGTTAGGTTAGGTTAATTTAACGTTAATGTAATGTCAGATTAGGTTGATTTAACGTTAATGTAATGCTTGGCCAGGGTAAGTTAATATAATGTTAACTTAAATTAAGTCAAGTAAGGTTAGTTTTGATGAAATTAAGATAAATAAGTTCATGCTTTCAAATAAAATGAAATCTATAGCATTAAAATCAGCCTTCAAAAAACAATGTTTCTACAATCAGCAACGAACTCGTAAAAAGCGATGCTCGTTGGTTAGAAAGTATACAACAATTGTGGTTATATTTTGACCTAATCGTGGGTACAGCATTCTCACGTTACTGTTGCCATGACATCGACAGAACATCGAAACTCGTTCGCATTCCAGCCTTTCAGTCGGCTGCCAATTACAAATTGTAAAAGCTGCCAATTATGGAGCCACGGCGAAGGAATTGAATTGCAGCCGCCATAGATCCCGAAGTCATGGTGTTTCGCGGAAAAGTGGAACAGCTTTCGTCTTTCTCATTTAAAACTAAATTTCAAATTTCAACACAAAGGGAATAAAACTTCCAACTTGTATTTTAGTGAATTTTTATTTCACGAAATAATTACGCGAACTTCGACCATAAATTTCTTTCTAACTTCTCAAAGTTGCACGCTATTCGCAAAATTATTCCCTTGGACGTCTTCTACGATCACGCGAAGTTTTGATCGGTGCTCCAAAGACCGTGATGTCATCTCGTTAATCAAACCGAATCGTCGAGTAGGCCTTGGATTTCATGAAAATTGGAACGGTTCAGCACACTTCATGGAATTTATATGCATTTGATGGATTTAGAGCATCGATGCAAGTTGCCTGCAGGCTCACACGTGTGACTTACATAGGTGTACTCGATGGCAATCGATGCTTGCAGTTCGATCGAGCCGACGTACGAGATTTTATTCAATTACACTCTCGGCACTAGACTCTCTCCTTTCAATCGATCCACGGATTGAACAGTAGAGATCCGCCGGATCGAATCGATGACCAATGCGTGCGGCATCGTGATTTCCTCGGGGTTGTCGTTAATTGGAAAGGAAACTATTGGTCGCGAGCTTCTCGTTTTGTTTAAAATGGCGCAGAAAATCAATGGCCTTCTAATAAATACGTGTTATATTCGCCGATAGCAAAAAATCGTGCAACGTATGTCGATGTTTTTGTCATTCGGCAACAGATATAAAAGGTAAAAGACGTAATTAATAGAATGTGTGTCGTTTCCTTCATTACGCGAAAGATAATTGCTTTTCAATTAAGTCCAAACGAGTTCGACTCGTTGATGTCTGTTTCGATTTATCAAAGCGGACATTTCTTCGCCGTAATGGCACTTGCTTTTTGTCACGCATTTTTTCAGGTGTTTTAATTGTCTTTGGTGTAACTATGAATGAAATAATAGAAGAATGTAGGTATTAGGTGATTTAAGTATGATAGTGCGTTGGTATCTAGGGGTTTTGGGGATTTAAGGATGTAATGTAGGGGTTTGTGGATTTAGGAGTATAGTCATCTAGGGATTTATGAATTTAATGATATGATAATCTAGGGATTTGTAGATTTAAAAATTTAGTAATATAGGGAGTTGCAAATTTAAGCATATGATAATCTAGGGATTTGTAGATTTAAGAATATAGTAATCTAGGGATTTGGGAATTTAATCATATGGAAATCTAGGGATTTCAGGTTTTAAGAACACAGTAATCTAGGGATTAGTGATTTTAACCATATGGTAATCTAGGGATTTGTAAATTTAAAAATATAGTAATTTAGGGATTTGGAAATTTTAAGTCTTAGAAATTTAGGAATCTAGGATTTAAGCATAGAACAATGTGCAAATATATAAATTTAGGGAATTTAAATATTTCAAAGATTTGAAAATTTGAAAACTAAAAAGTTTAGAAATATGTAAATTTGGAAAATCTGAGAATTATAACATAATAAAGTAATATAATAGAATTGTATAAAGGAAATTTGAGAAATTCAGCAATGTGCAAGTTTGAAAATGAAAAAATTCATAACTATATGAATCTGGGAAATCTGAGAAATTTGGTAATTTAGAGAAGTTTAGAAATTTTTAGTAATTTTTGCTGAGGAGCTTAGTAATGTAAAAATTACAAGATCTACAAAATTAAACGTGCAGAAAATTAAACCGATTTTCACCAAGATCTTTCAACAAGGACTTAAAAAATCAAAAAAAGTAGAAACACGAGCTTCTGCAAGGAAAAATACGCAACGAAAAAAATATTATCAGTTAATCGTATCAGTAAGATATCGGTAATACATCGACGGTTGCCGACAGCACTGGAAGCGTAACTGCGACAGGTAACTTGATTTGTATATTTCACCATATCTGACCAAGTTGCCCCAACATGGAACCCCCAAGGTTTATTTCGTGGCGAACTGCGTTGCCCTGAAACGAAAGGGCATCCGTGGCTAGTTTCGATCAGCACGCAATAAAATATCAAAGTTTTGCCCTTTCAAAATAGATATCGTTAAGGAAACGAGTTAAACGAGTATCGTTTAGTCGCAGACTTTCACTTGCATGAAAATTCTCTTGACAGAACGATTTTGTCGATCGAAAAGTTGCGGCTAGGTAAATAAAAAACGCTACGCTCCTTACCGCGAGAGGCGATATCCCATCGCTTTCTCGTATAATGTTGCAGAATTGCGAATTGCCGATGCGAGAAAGTATTCGCATAACTAATACAACGTACGTTACGTAATATCGCGTTAAACATTCAGCTTAAAATGAAAGGAATAAGACGGTAATGCGTGGCACGCGTACTTCAACTGTCATTACTTCCACTCGCGTTAATTGTAATTGCCGCCGTCACGCTACGATTCGAAAAATGAATACGTATTGTTTCCAGCACACAATCGAAACTCTTTCGAATACTATTTATTCAACGCTTTTTTCAACGTGATCGAATCGCGGGAAGATACAAATGCTTCCTGTTAATTAAAAATCTAAACTGATCCTTTCTTCCAATCACTGCCGGAACTATTTTTCGGATGGACAGGTACACCAGTTTTATTATTACTAATAGTATCACTAAATATTATTAAATAACTTTTGAAAATTTGGGAATCAATTTTTCAATTTATAGAATCTCAGTTTTAGAAATTTAGGAATTTTTAAATTTCACATTTTTGTGAAATTTGACATTTAATATTCAATAATTCTGACATTTAATATTTCTGAATCTCTGAACTTGTAAGTTCCTAACTTAAGTTCCTATTCTTAAGTTTACACATTTCTAAATTACCAAGTTCATAAATTTATAAATTTTCAAATTTAGTGACCACCACTTTAAAGTTTAGAAATCAGTAAGTACAATAAAACATTTATGTACATGTACATGTTCATCATACTTGGTCATACTAAAGCAAATCATTTTAACAAGTCAATAGCCACAGAACATAAGAAATTCCAAGATACCTATTTTATACAATAATCACCAAAAACCTGACCACAGCATGACAATCATTCACATCGCGTAACAGTTAAAAAAGACAGAAAAGTACAATTTTACATCTCACATAATTTTTAAAATAGATCAAAAATATATTTAAAGAAACATTAATGAAAATAAAATAAAATAACTTACCAAATTTAGACTGACAGTAGGTACAATCTTGACACAACATAAACCAATCGTTTTTTAAATCTTTAAAATTCGCCATGATCGATTGTCAGAATTGCCACCGGTTCCTCCGATCGGCTCACAATGAAGTATCAAGAATTTCCACTTTGTCACGATAATGTTTTCGTAAGATACGCGTGCCACAGCCGAAACATACCAACACTTCCCGCGTAATATTAAACGGAACGTTCAGTCAACCTGAAACTTCACACAACATACGCAAGTGCATTCTGGACAGGAGATGAGAAACGAAGTCAGAACACACACGAATACTCAAAGCAGTCAACGATTACCTTACGACACCCAGTTCTGGTTTGCCGTTCGTTCCACCCGGTGTTCTCTCCATCCTTGTCTTATCTTTCACTACCACAATTGTATCTTTCGCTCCTTAGCACGTCTCATGTACGTACTGCTATCTTTCTTTCGCCGGTTTCATTGGTCTACAACGTCCCTTTTCACTCTAGTTACCGGCTCTTACGAGCTGCTTATTTTTATAATCACTTTACCGCGGGGTCGTCTATCATCATCTACTTATGTACCTTTACGTGTAGTATATGTGATCAGAATGTATATTCATAGTTCAATATCGAGTACGCTAACTACACTATCATTTGAAAACACCGTGTACTTTTTATAAATAGATTTTTCTCTATAACAAGATTCGCTAGCAACGGATTAAATTTTATAACGATGCATTAAGTGCACATGTTTAATTTATTTTTTTCATCAAACATCATTAATATTATTAATTTCATTTATTTAGATTTTATGTGCAATTTGATATAACAAATCAAATTTCAGTCACTATTTTTAAAAAAATATTACTTATAGTTCATGTATACTAATATGTATACATGTCCATCTTTGTTATTATATAGATATTACAATGTCCGCGCATATAAATGCAGCAGGTGTAAGCTATGAAAAAAATCTAGAATATCAAGTTTCATTAATTGTATGTATAATTTATTTACGATTTCTTCACTTTTAAAAAGCCAGCTGTGTTCGAGAAATATTTAGCGTTAGCCTCATTTACTTTCTTTTCTGCGGCTTGCGGATTTACAATTTCCAAACCCTACAAATAAAGTCGTACATATAATTCAACAGTTTAACGATAAAGTAACGACAAAATATATCGATATTAATTTACCTGCAATGGTGTAAACGCGACGCTGGATGCCGTACCAGAAACTTGCTTCTTAACTGTTGTACTACCACCCCATTGCTGTTGTTTTTGTAAATTTTTTTGAAGGGTTTTCGATATTCGTACTTTTGTTTTCTCGTCGATCTGAGGTAGTCTAATACGACCAGCTCCTGCTTTGCCTATTGTACCGCGTGAATAACCAAGGTCTTCTTGATAGGCGTCATTTTCGATCTACGGAAATATGTTAATGAAACAATGTTATGAGAAAAATTATGAAGTATAGAGCTGCAACACTTACATCAGCGAAATTCATTCTATTCGCATGTTTTCTGAATTCCGTAATAGCATAGCGTTCCTTCATTTTTCTGACGCGTTTACCACCGCGCTTCTTCCTTCCTGGATCAATAGGTTTTGGTAAAGGTTTCACGAATTTTACCGGAGGTGGTTCCTGAAGTTTATCCAACTTCTTTTCAATTTCTTCGCGGAATAATTGACCGATATGACCATCTGTACTTTCATGACATGCGTCAACACGTGCAGCTAGCATACTTTTAGCTGCTACGAGTCTCGCTGCTTTCCTTCGTAAATCCTGAAGAATAAGAGAAAATTAAAAAGAGTATTTAAAAACTGCATGCAACAGATACTGTATTCTATATTAACTTACTGGAGGAGTATCTTGTACAATATCAGAATAATATATGAAACCAGTATGAGGTAAAGTTGCTACTTGTGAAAATCCAGATAAGGTTGTTTTTTGAGATCCTAGCACTAATACATTGCAAGCTGGCATTTTAGAAAGTTTTGTCAAACCTCCAGCAACTCCTATAATAACATGTAAATTAGAAGTTTCAAACATGTTTTTATCATTGAAAATAACATAGATATATTATTATAAAGTACCCATAATTTTTGCTGCTGTTGATGCACCTACTATTATAGAAAGATTTGGTGCAATAAATGCCATTCTACTTTCAACATACTCAAATATTTTTAATTTACAATTATTCAATTCTACTGCCATGTCACAAGCCTCACAAATAGCTTCCTTTTCTTCTTCTGTTAATAATTGACTATAAATAAAATGATTTAATTTATTAAATTGGGAAAGCAAAATTTAGTTACAAACAACCTAGAAGTCCATAAATATTACCCTTGTGTTGTTGAAGCAGTAACAGAAACTACCATAATTGTTGCTTGAGTAAGAAATTGTTGTAATGTTTCATTATTCTTAGCTCTATCTAAGTCATTTCCTAATTCTCTTACTGTCATTACATATTCCAATGGACCTACAACTAAAGATTCTAATTCTGGAAACCTTTTGGAATATTTGTCTCTTGTAAATCGATGTATCGTAGCTGAAAAATATGATTCATAAAAACATTTTTCAACTGTATGAAAGATTCAAATTATTTAGTATTAATTATATACCTATTTCATCATCAATATCTACAGCCATATTATTAGCTTCAACAATAAGTTGATATTCTGGATCAGACTCAACAGGTCCGATAATATCTGCTGATTTCCTTGGTACCTTACTGTACTTTTCTATTTGAGACATTACTTTTCGTAACTGTTCAGAATCACGCAGCTTCGCCAATTCTCTTACTGACGCTACTTTTATTTCTGCAAATAGAAAGAGATAAAATACTAACTAATAATACTATTCTTAATAGAAAACTGTATGTAAATAAACATAAAGAGAGGTTAACCTTCTTCGATGCTTTTCGAAACCGAGGCCGGAATAAAATCCGGCTCCGGTTCTTCCATATCCTGATCGTTATCGTCATTTTCTTCAAGATCAGCCAACAGTTCATCAGCTAACGACATGTTTTCTTTATAAAATTTTCTCTCAAATATATCAATTTACATTTGACAACTTTGTTTGCTTACAACAGCGCTATCTAGACAGCGTAATACGTTTGGAAACTTATTTTCAATATACTGGCGCTGTTCTCAAAAGTTAGCGACTACGATTGGTCAGTATCGACACGTACGATATTCAACAATCTATACTGTCTTGTCACTGCTTTTTATTATTCGTTCAACAGAAGATTGTACTCATCATCTGATGAGTTTTGGTTCATTCTGCGCATGACTGCGCTCATTGGTTCAGTACTGTTTTGTAACCAAGAGCGACGCGCATTCGCGTTTGCGACTTCAGCGACACCGGACGTGTATACTCTGTGTCTCTCAATTTTGTACCTTTCTTTGATCATAGATGAGTATAATTGTACATATAAATTCGAAATTTAATAACTTAGAATTCTACAAAGTTGCAAATGTAAGAATTCTATAGTAGCCAAATGTAATTCACGTATCATTTTTTCATGTACTTTTTTTATTGGTGTATTCTTGTCCACTAGGTATATGATCAACTGAGTATGATAGTGGGGCAGCACTAACTAATAGGGAATCAACTGAAGTTATGCGAGTTGCGCGATCGGGTACGGTCTCTCGTTGAACAAACTATACGTATCATTGAAAAACCGGCTTACGGTGAGTGCAAGCAGCGGGACGGAAGGGAAAGGTTTTGTCGAGCGATGATAGAAAGAGAGAGAAACGGAAAAATGAATCGTTTCCTCCCCACCACATAACCAAAACTCTGTATTCGTTGACGCACGATGCTCAAGGGGAATCGTCTCAGTGCATTGCAGTATCGACAAGGATAAAGATAAAAAGAAAGGCCTTCCGACGAATGACAGCACGTAAAACTGATCACGCGGCCTCACCGGGAGGTGTGCTTTCGTTCGGTTTCACAGACCGTGTGCGTGTTTCTGTACGTGTGCGTTACGGCAGTATCTCACAACAAATATGTCGTGGTGGGGAGTACGTTTTTCCGTTCGCCGTCTCGCATATTTCTTCCCCCGCATTATTATTATGTAGTTTGGCATAGGTGAACCATCACACGTTCAATTCGACACCAAAACGGTGCAGGTGTGTGCGTGTGCGCGTGTGTACACGTGATACAATTGTATCCATAAAAAGTTTTCTTCGAATCAAAGAAGACGATAGAGTACGTGTATGTATAAAGTGTGACGAGAACGATGCGCGACTTAGCTCTCTTACGTCGGTAATTAGAACGATTATTTAATCATGTTCAATTCGCGAGGAACCAGAGAAGATCGTGGGCAGCTAGCGGCGTGAGTCTCGCGATTAACGGTAGGTGTGGAGTCTCGCGTCGACAGTGAAAACGACGTGTGTTGACATTGGTTCGCTGGTTGTGTTCCCGGCTACGCCTAAGTGAGAAATGCGGTTCTGAATCACGACGTGCGTCGATCCCGTGTAATCACGAACAGGTTGTTCACGGGTGGCTCCTTCGATACGTGCATTACATAGCGATACGTATTCGTGAACACAGAAACTCGTGTGTGCAAGCTAGGACGCGCGCGCGCGCTCGCGTGTGTAGCGTGCTCCTCCTGGGTATTTGTGCGTGCGTACGTACAGTGTTTAGCAATCAAGGATACACTTATTCCTTCGGAAGGACGGCCTGACACGGAAGGAACGCCGGAAGGAAGGAAGAGGAGGGTAGCAGGGTAGTAAGATGGCGGGATCCTTAACGTGGTCGTGTACTTGTTGCCTGCGGTTCAAGTTCAGCCCCGAGGAGATCGAGCAACGTTACAAAAGCCAAGAAATCGATCGGATGCTGGAGAAAGATCGTCAAGCACTCCGACGACAGGTCAAGGTGCTGCTCCTCGGGGCGGGTGAGAGCGGAAAGTCGACATTCCTCAAACAGATGCGAATTATTCACGGAATTAAATTCGAGGTAGAATAATCTCGATTTTTTATGGGCGACGATTATTTCTCCTTCACCTCGATGCTTTGTTAACATCTTCTGAAACATTTACATTACTTATTTCAAACATTTTCCTTTTGGCATTCTGAATAATCCACTTGCAAACTGCAGTTTCCTTTACACCTTCTGTCAGTGTTGTGTAGTTGTTTAAATGTCTATCCATGGGAAGGTGGTTGACCTAAACACATGGTTTAAGAATATGAGAAAGTAGGTCTACAATAAAGATGATTCACTTAAACTTTTGTATATCTGTTTTAAAGTTATATTCAATTATTCATAACATTAAGGATACATATCATAAATGTCTTATTTATTCGATGACACAAACAATACAGTCATCTCAGTTTATTAGGAAAAGTAAAGAAATGTAATATATTTCATTTTCTTTTTCAGCCTGAATTAATTAAAGAGTATCAACATGTAATTTATCAAAATATAATTAAAGGAATGAAAGTGTTAGTAGATGCTCGTGATAAGTTAAATATTCAATGGGAGAATCCTAAGAATTATGATATTGGTTATCAGTTACTAAAATTTGAAAATACTATGGTATTAGATGCTCGATTGTTTCTTCATTATGTACCAGCTTTACAAAGTTTATGGAAAGATGCATCGATCAAAAGAGCCTTTGACAGAAGAAGAGAATTTCAATTAGTAAGACATGTTTCGTATTTCTTAATTTTAATTTGATAGGCATGGATATAAATTTAACAGAGATTAGTAAAGAGATTAAATCTCCTCTTATGTTCTTATTTTTATAAGATTCTTTTTTTGTACAGAGTGATTCAGTGCAGTACTTTTTGGACAGTCTTGACAGGATTGCAAGAATGGTAATAATATGAAATTTTTACACAAACTTCCTCTTACTTATTAAATTTATCATATCACTCTGTGAACACAATATAGTATTTTTAAACAGCTAAAATTTCTTTTCAGGATTATGTGCCCACGCATCAAGATATTTTACACTGTAGAAAGGCTACAAAAGGAATTTCTGAATTTGTTATACAAATTAATAATATTCCATTTCTGTTCGTTGATGTTGGAGGACAAAGATCTCAAAGACAAAAGTGGTATCAATGTTTTGATTGTGTTACATCTATACTATTTCTTGTTTCATCGTCAGAATTCGATCAAGTATTGTTAGAAGATAGGTGTGTTATCATCAAGTTTATTATTATAATTTTCATTTGTAAAAATTAGACAAGAGTAATAAGTATCTCATTTGACATTTCAGGAGAACAAATCGGTTAGAAGAATCAAGAAATATATTTGATACAATAGTTAACAACACAATATTTGGTGGAGTGTCTATTATTTTATTCTTAAACAAAACTGATTTATTGGATAAAAAAGTAAGATCACCCGATACAAATGTTCGTTGGTATTTTCCACAATTCACAGGAGATTCACATTCCATGAAGGATGTGCAGGAATTTATACTAGATATGTTTATATCTGTTAAAAGGGACACAAGAAAGCCTCTTTTTCATCACTTTACTACAGCTGTAGATACAGAAAATATAAAAGTTGTGTTTAATGCAGTGAAAGATACAATTTTACATAGAAATTTGGAATCGCTGATGCTCCAATAATGATGAATCTGTATAAAACGTGAAATAATTTCCAATTCAAAGGTATGCATTCAACATTTAGTATTTGGTATATGGTTAGGTGAAATTAGTTGAAAAAGTATTAGGACTTCAATTTGAAAAGAAATTCTGGTAAGACAATATATGTACATTATATATATTGTACCAATATAAATCACGTGATTACCTCCGTGGAAAACGGTAAATTAAACGTTTTCGTAATAGTTTTATACAAAACGGGGAATAAAAACTGCCTAATAAAAACATGTATTGAAAATTTTCAACACTGTACACACTATATGTACAGGGTGTTTTGCCAGTTTTATTTGCTCTAAGTATCTCCATTATTTCAAATGAAGAACAAAACTGTTATGTACATATAAAAGTTGTAAGGTATGAAGAAATACATAATATGATATTAATAGTTTCTTTAGAAGTGCAGGTACAGAGTTCAATTTTTTATCAATTTTTTTGTTTCAGCAAAACAACGAATTCAGAGTATAAAATTACTAAGGTGCATTTATTCTAAAACCTACTATTCCTGGGATATTTGATTTTGTTCATCCCATTATTTTCATTATGACACATATTCGAAATGTCATGTTGGTTATCTTATGTCCACTAATGGGGAACTTACTGATACTGAGAGATGTCGAAAGTCCAACAATGCTATTTCATGATATTTACTATCTAATATTTGTTTACATCCAAAGTACTGACACCTGTGAGCATTGTGAGAGTTAGAGGACGAACAAAATGAAATATCTCAAAAACGGTATGAGTTAAGATAAACGTAGATTCGTTTTTTTTTTATATTCAGAATTCGCTTTTTTATCGAAATCCAGTAAGAGATAGGACATGTCATTTAAAAAACAAAATTGACCTCTAGATCTCCTCTGTACCACCATTTGTAAAAAAAAATGTTGATAACAGATAACGTATTTCTTTATATTTTACAATCTTTATAAGTAAAATTTGTAACCACTAAAATTGGCGATTTACTCTGTATATATAATGTATATAGTGTTAAATATTTGATATATGTATATATATACAATTTTTATATATATATATATGCCTATACACTGATAACATATTTCCATCCTTTTTGAAGAATATTGAATATTAAAGGGTTGTAGACTATTATATACAATTTATTGTACATAGCAACTTGTATTCTATACATAGTCAAGAATAACGATTTTACAGGTTTGTATAAAAAAGGATCAGTTTGCTAATAGTATAGCTAAGATTTTTCTATTTTGTACAGATATTTAATCCAGTGCTTCTTTTTTATATTAAAATATATAATGAAAATCCTGGTCATGTAATCAGTTTTCACAGACATAAGAATAACTTATTTTTTACTTAAGCTTGATTATCTTTGTTAACATTGAATATAGTAAGTAATGAGGAAACCAAATACTAGATTCATGCCATATAAACCAAATGAAACTAACCAGTTTGTGTTCGAATTGCTGTGTGCAAAATTGTTAATTTCAATATAATTTTTTTTTAATTCGACTTAAAAATAGTGTACACAATTTAAATACTTCAGAATAGTAATATAATTTCTTGTATTATGATATTCATTATATTTTTGATTTATTGTTTTTGTATTTCTCCAAATTGAAGTTGTTTTCTGTAGCACACAATAAATTATATTTTGTAAGCATTTATAATTTAAATTAATATAGTCCTGATAGTTCAATATTACTTTTCTGTTGTAATGTAAACCTCCAGTATTTGTTACAACAAATTATATAAAAAAAGATTACAAAGAAAGATCGTAATAATACATATTATAGATTTTGTTAAATGATTAAGTAGGAAGGGTTTTGCTAAACTTTGGTTTTAACAGCTGGTCCTTGATTAAATGTTATTTGTTTAAGGAAAAGTTATGGTAATCAGTATTATTATTTTTCACATGCAAAGGTTCAACGTTTATTTTCCAGTCTGATAACATAACAGTTTTCCAGAATTATATGTTATTTTTATTATTCTATATTCTATATTCAACATCATTATGTATTTCTTTTCTGTAAATTTCTGTTCCCGCATATTTTTCAAGTTATACAGCAATTTATATTATTGAATGCAATTAAGATGAATCACATTATAATGAAGGCAAAAGCTATTCATTAAGGTGTTCTCTTCCTGTCATAAAAATTATACACAGTCCAGATCATTTAGTAATTGGGAACGGCATATTTTATTGTCATTATAAATACCACTGTAACCAAGGATTTTATGTAATAATATTTATGGTGAAACCAAAGAATTTTGAAACTAATAAATTTTTTATGTAATTTATTTTTACTAGTTTAGTATAATGCCTAATGTTAGATATTTTTAAAACCACATCTATATTTATGCACACAGTTATTTTATTTTTCCATTCTGATCATTTATTACATAAAATCTTTGTTCCCTTTGCTCTTTATAGGAAAAAAGAGAAATTAAAAATCTCAAAATATTTAAGAATTGTATTCAGAATTAATTATACCTGGAGCTAATGAAAATATTTTGTTATGTTTGTATATAAGAGATTTTAGGCCTAGTGTAAAAATATAAAATGTTAGGTAATTGAATTTCTACGTAACTATTTGTATCATGTAAAAATAATGTGAAACTTTAATAATTGGTATATTTTCTTAACTGATACATTTTACATTCCTATAAACTTAAACATGTCAATTTTAATTGATATTCTTAGAGTATTTTTAAACCGCACCACATTTTAGAAACATTATTATTGCCTTTAATGAAATATTGTTTTGGAAAGTGAATTATATACAATTTTATACGATTTTCATACATTTATACAGAATTTATATATTGATACTCAACGAGAACAATGTCTGTAATTTTTGTAGAAAATATTTTTAAACGAGCCTATACTTTAAACTTACTTGTGAATTTGTATAGGTGCAACATGTGTAAAATGTTTATCTCATAGAAAACTTCTATGATACTTAGCACAAATTATGCAGCTCATTTTGTAAAAAAATGTAAACGCGATATTTATTTTTCTAATTAATTAATAAAAAATATTTGTTATATCAATATATTTCATTACAAATTCATTTAAAACATACAGAATAGTACCGAATTTTTGATTTCATATTATTTACAGTTCATTTATGAATCATGTAAGTTTTCAACCAAACTGTTATATAGTAGATAAAAAAATTTTTAAATATTGCAAGTCGTAAATGTAACATGTTTAAAAGTTTTATTATAATATGAACTGTGAAAACAAAACTTTGTGATGGAATATCGCGAAAAGTAAAAAAAGATGATTTTTATATTTTTAGATATACAAAGGTTGTTTTAATTTGTTCAACCTAATGAATTTTATACATTTCAGTATATACAAAAGAAAAAAGAAATTTAGATATTCTCGTTGGCAATGATACAGGGGTGTTTTATATATATATACATATAAAACGATTTTATTATGATTTGCATTTTATTTACATTGGGTACTTTTATATTCATAACTACATTCTCAAATCATGAAAAAAAAACGTATACAAATAATTCATATTTCATTATTATAAAACAAAAATTGTGTCTATTACGTAAATTATTATTAATATTGCTGCAGTATATTTATAATCATGCTTGTTTGTATAAAAACGTTCTTTACAAACCGATCCTAAAAATTTATAATAATATACAAGTTCATTATATATAAAATATACAATAAAAGTTTTTAGCACAAGTAAACATGTAAGTGACTCGCAGAATAAATATATTGCTTCTGCAGTAATAAAGATAGTTTATGTAATAGTTACAATGTGTTTTTTATAAATTTATATATATATATATATATACATACATATATAGATATTGTTGAATCATGATTTGTTAAAAAGAAGTTAAATGTGCAACAGTTTAAATATGAAAAAATGTTTTCTTCTGAGTTTCTGTAACAGTGATCAAAATTAATAAAATCAATAGAACAGTTTTGGACAGTTGGAAGCACATATATTTGAAATTATTTGAACATAATTTTTCTGCCATTTAAGTATGAAGCACAAACTACTTTTACAATTTCTATTTTGTAGCCCAAGGCAAAATACTGTTCTATTATTGGCAATTGTACATCTCAACATTTTATTTCTACTTGTCTAAACATAATCTAATGAATGTAGATATATTGTGCCTATATGTATTGTATTTATACACGAACATATTGTATATTTGTATATAAACATATTTTACATAAAATATTGTAATAACGTAGTCTATTCATATTGATAATAAATAAAACTTTAGCAAATGTATGCTTTATTTAATACTTGTATAGTGGACTGTTAACTGTGTTCTTTTATGCGTTACATACTAATGTTTTTGCAATATAATCAATTTTTACTATCTGTCAGTTAACAGTGCAAAAATATACAATCATTAATTGCAATACATATGAAAAATACTGTCCCAAATAGTAACCTATGTTCCTGTTTAGAAACTAATTTAGGGTGACCCACAAACTGTTTATGCAAATTTTATTGCATATAATGGAAAAGAAGTATTAATTATTTATATATGAAAATTATGGGCAAAATAGTTAATTATTAATATTTATGATATAAATCATATAATAAAATATTTTAAGGAGCCATACTAATCATATAGCTTTAGATTCAAATTACATGGCGCTAAATGCAAATTGAATGTTTTGAATCAGAACTATTGTTTCTTTAGATTAAATATAAGTACGTTTAGAAATAGGTGCATTTGTTTTCTAAAAATTGTTATCGTGTTAAAAATAGAATGATAACATAATGAAAACATAAAATTTATCTTCTGTTCAGAACAGTGAAAATTAGGTTTATAATGTTGAATTTACGCATATCTAGTCCTATCATGACTGTAGAACAATTTACGAGCATCAACAAAACTTTAAAATGATTAACATTTTACAGAGAAATGTAATTTTTTATTTTGGTAGTTGCTAGCTTGACTGCTAGATGGCGCTAACAGTGTTATTTTCAGAGGGCGTGAAATATAACAATAAGATAATAATGAAACAGTAACAATGTTTCAAAGTATTTAATATATCAAATTATTTACTTTGCAGTAATCAAATCGCTACAATATTATAATTAAGAATTGAAACTTGAATATAAAATTCAATGATAAATGAACTTCAATCTACACAAAGATGTACAAACAAAGTAATTAGTATACTGATGTAATTTCTGGAATCATCTTTTTGAAACGTAAAATGCAGTTTCAAATAAGGCGGTCTCATGATACGTTCTTGAAGTATATTTTATTACTAAAATGTTTCTACTTATATATCTTTCCTATAGTTTCTTCCATAGTAACAAAGATTAAAATATTTTAAATGTAACAATAGTCTTCAAGCACACTGATTAGCCATTACGTTAAATTGCTTAAGAACCTCGTTGATTTTTTGTAAATTTTTCTTCGCTGTGCCAGCTATTTTTCCCTCTGGTAGAACCTTCGGTTCGTATTTCAGCAGTTCGTAAGCATCGATCAAACACTTCTTCGATTCCTGTTGAACAAAGGAACAGAAAAAATATTTATTATGGACTTAGTCAAGGGTTGAAGGGTTATATTTATTTTTACTTAAATTTTATCAAATTACTTTGAACAATTTTTACATTCATCTCTAAAAATATTAATATAATTACAATTTAATTTCTGTTATTTTAGAAATTCTGTAAAATGCAATTTTACCCTTTGAGGTAAAAGCCTTTTGTCTTTTAGAAGGAGACAAGTGCTTTATCCTTGGCAAAGCTCATAATGTTATTATATTAACCTGATTTTATTATTTGATACTGTGATATAATTGTAAACCGATATTACTGTAATATTAATTCCAATTTGTTACTCGTTCACAGTATTTCATTTGCAGTAATATGAAGCTATCGTATCTCCTTCGTTGTAACCTTTGCTTGCAATTATTATCGCGGTAATAATTTATGAGAATGAACTACATTTTTATCAGGTAAAATTTATTATTTGATTTTACCAGTAATAACAGCACGGTATCCCCATCTGTACGTCTTCTGCTAAGTTCTGCGAGAGTAGCATGCATTTCGAACAGAATCAACCCTCGAATTCGATTTTCAGCTGAAACGGTACGTAGATCATTTAATTCGTGTATAATTTGTTACCTACATAAAACCCTTTGCGGTCGTATTAAATTTGATCATGGAAGTACTGGTCGGAATGAATTTCTCTTGAAAGAGCAGCGATACATGTAGGATTATGAAGGATAAACAAGATTTATTAATTCTTCTGTGAATTTACCATCAATATAATCGATAAAATTGCTCGCTTTTTGGATTATCGTCGTTACATTTGCATTTCTCGAAACATTTTCATTCAAATGTAACATCCAAAATATTTGGAGAAATCTTTCCTTTCGAAATATATTTCTAAAAAATGGTATGTTCCAACATGTTCCTTAGTCCAATAATATTTCATATTAGGATCTGGTATAGTACCCATGTTAAAGAATACACCCAAAAAAGCTGTTAACTCTTCTTTCGTTACATCGATCCAGTTATTCCATGTTGATCAATCAGATAAGCTCTGCTGTTCTATTTTATTTTTGGCATACTTATTTGTTTCTAGTACAATTGTTTCAAGTAGTGTATCCGTGAAAAAGAGTCTGAAAAAGTCGATAGGTTCAGTGCAATGAACATTAGGTACATTAGGTCCAACAATCTTAGAACCCGTCGAAAAATTGCTGTTTGATTGTGGTTGAATAAAGTGTAAGATTAGTATGGTTTGAGAGTAGACATACGACCACAAAGGGTTAATTGTAAACTATGAATTCAACTATGTAAACTACAAATATTAATTTCCTGCGTAGACGTATTAATTCGACAAATTACCAGGTGCGAGCAATTTCAGCAAATTGTCCAATTTCTTGCACGATTCTTTTTTTTCGACCAACAGCTCTTCCTCAACCGCCTCTAATCCACTCTGTTGTCCAATTAACTGAGCCAGAGCAATCGTCACATCAATGTTGTAAAAATGATTAGGATGAAGGACGTTCTTATAGCGATTCAAGAACTCTTTGCAGACATCTATGTCGTTTTTCCTCATTTCTGACAGATGTATACCAATATCTTCCAACGTTTCTTCGATTATTTCGAGGGGAACAACTGTAGTGCAATTTGTACAGACGTAATCCTCCCGATGATCCCCGAGAAACGTTTTCGGTAAGACGTATCCTGAACAATCGCTAAAAATGAAAACAAGACAGAGGGAAAGAGAGAGAAAGATATTAACAATAAACTTTTTAATTGTAGTATAAGGCTGAATTTTTGTTTATCATAAATTACGAGGTTCGATAAAAATTTAATGTTCACTGTGTTTATTTTCATAAATTATGTACGTTCATGTATATTTATAAATTATATATGTACATCTTTTCCTAGATTGATATTTAGATACCTAAATATTTAGATATTAAGTTACTGCATACACATAAAATGTTAACTGTTTCGAATGGTGTGTCAAAGTTTAGGCTTAAAGTTTCACGAAAAATATGCTACAGAACGTTCGTTAATATTCTTAAAAAATTTTATCGATCTCAAAAATCTTTAATGATCAATTACTGATCTTAAAGCATAGAATTCGAAACAAATTGCTGGTACATAAAACATCAACTAAGAATTCATACTACATCAATCTAAAGTTGTAACAAAATCGACTGTAACAAAATCGAATGAAACTAGAAAACTACATCCAGTTTTATAAAAATCAAATATCCAATGAACCTTTTATAAGTAGTCATCCGCCTTTTATTAGTATTCAATTATTCTAATTTCACCTACATTTCGCTGCACCTAATAGCATTAAACATAGCTCCGAATTCCGTTGGATCCCTGCATCGATCGCAAGTACACTCAAAATATTTCGTTTCAAGAAGATGGTGTCTCCTGTTCATTGTCCCCCATAATGGATCCGTGTAACATATAGAAATATGATCTCCTGTAACGTATTTCTATTTTATTCTTCGAGAGCATGAAGCACAAGCAAGTACACAGTGCGTTTAATAATACATTTATTAGTACATCCAGTATCGCCATTAGCGTCGTGCAAACAGGGGCAATTGCCCCGGGCTCTGGGCTTCGAACCTTGAACGGTGGATTGTATTTCGTATTAGTTTCGAGTTAGTTTGGGTTAATCTTCTGAATGCATGAATTTCTGAAGCTTTTGTCTTAAGCTCTGAAGGACAAAGCATGCGTCAAGCAGCAGTCTGTAACATACTCTGTGAGTGTTAAAGTATACATTAAAGTATACTTGAAGTATATTGTTCATTCTTTAATTTTGTATTTTATTTTTTTTTACATTATGTGTTAATTTTTTTACATTCATTAGGCATTACACTTTGAGCAACTGAAACGTGGTGTTAAGTTTACTCTGCAGGGAAATTTTAGAGATTAACAGGGTGTAGCCATTATAATTTGATAGGATTCGGTCACCTTTAGTGATAGGTGTGGCAGCGTGAATAATTAATCCACCCGTGTCGGTGAAACTCTTTGAGCAATTTGCTTTACAGTTATGTTCGAGCAAGGATGCCAATTCGTACACTGCCACATATGGTGGATCTGTTAGAGGCACTTCGTGTCCGTTAACCTGCAATTCAAGGAGTACCCATGATTCATAAATTAAGAACTCTGCAAAGTGACAATTTTTAGAGTTCAGTGAAAATTCTCCTTTCATTGAACGATTTCAAATTTCCACAAATTGTAACATTCATATAAATTTTCTTTTTGTACGTTATAGTTAAATGAATTTTCAGTATATTGTTATTAAATGACTTTTCTGTAAGTCATTGATATATGAATTTTCAATAAGTTGTAGTTAAATGAATTTTCAGTATATTGTTATTAAATTACTTTTCTGTAAGTCATTGATATATGAATTTTCAATAAGTTGTAGTTAAATGAATTTTCAGTATATTGTTATCAAATGACTTGTCTCTAAGTCATTGATATATGAATTTTCAATAAGTTGTAGTTAAATGAATTTTCAGTAGGCTGTCGTTAAATGAATTTTCTATAGACTGTAGTTAAATGATTTTTCAATATGTTGCTACTAAATGAATTTTCCGTAAGTCGTTGTTAAATAATTTTTCAGTAGGTTGTAGTTGACTGAATTTTCAATAAGTTGTAATTAAATGAATTTTCAGTAGACTGTGGTTGAATATATTTTCCGTAGAATATAGCTAATGTAGTTGAATTTCCTGTACTCAGTATTTAAGTAAATTATTATTAAATGAGTTTCTAGACTGTTGTACCAAACTCAATTATCTACAAATTGTTCTTAAACGAATTATCCATAAATTGTTCAGAAACAATTTCTCTATAACTTGTGCCACAGTCAAACTAATGAAGCAGAAACTGATTCAATGAACGATCAAAGACAGTACCTGCAAGACACCGATAATTTTCCTAATGTCTTCTTCCGGTATATCTTCGGACTTGAAAAACCTCTTGATGAAATTTACGAGGTTCGACGACTCTTCGAAAATGAAGGTCTCTTTATTCTTTATTTTATCAGAATGACTCTCGAGGGTTAGTAATTTGTTATAGGATTCTATATTATTGTCCTTGAGTGACAGTGCTCTTATAACGTTAATACATTGATAGCTTGGATGTGGATATCCGAATTTTGTGATGGATACCTGTAATAATTTTGTATCTCTTTATTGATATATTTTAATTAATATTTTACGAGAGTACGATATATTATGAGTTTTTATTTAATTTCTTCGTTCTAATCGTTTCGATAAGGAATTGTGCCAGATTGTATACATGCGATGAAGATATGTAAACATATTCGAAAATTAATCAATGATGTAGGTAATGTTAGTGTATAAATAAAGTAGCTAAATATGAACATAGTATATAAGATAATTTGAGATTGTATAAGATAATGTTAAGTAATACAAGACAATATTAGAACATAATACATGTCATATGAAGTAATATGTGATAATATGAAATAATATCAGACAATACAAGACAGAATAATCTTGATAAGAGATATGAAATAATCTTGATATACGACAAAAAATTTGGAGATCTGAAGGTGAAGAAATTTAATAACTTAAGGATTCAAAAGCTGAGGATGTTAAAATTTATAAATTAGAAAATTTAAGATTAATATTGTACAATAGTGAAATTTCATGATATTCTACTTTAATAGATCTATTTTATTTTAACAATATTCTACTGACTATATATCTTGATTATAAAAATTCGAAAATATTGATCTTGTAAGATCTCCATAAATAATTTTCAGTGATCACCTTATCGCTTCTGCGAGAGGAGGTAAAATCGCACTCTGTTCCGTGTTCTTTGCAGTTCTGACACAGAGGCCAACCACATTTTGTACAAGGCACCGCTGTATTTTCATGCAACACCATATAGCATCCGAGGCATACGGGAACAGAATTGTGCATAGGACCTGCTACCAGAGGTCGATCATCTTTCAAAACTATTTCTCCTGCTTTAATATTCCTCGCTGCTATGTAATAGCGACCCAAACTAGAACTTTCTGCCAACTTTTAATATTATTTTCATTTAGAAATGTGATGTTAACAATGAAGTGTACGGGAGAATGTTGTGTTGAATTTGGGAATTTGGTTATTTTGGGAATTTGGGAATTTGGGACTTTGGAAATTTGGGAATTTGGGAATTTGGTTATTTTGGGAATTTGAGAATTTGAGAATTTGGGAATTTGAGAATTTGGGAATTTGGTTATTTTGGGAATTTGGTTATTTTGGGAATTTGAGAATTTGGGAATTTGGGAATTTGGTTATTTTGGTAATTTGGTAATTTGGGGATTTGAGAACATGGAAATTTGGGAATTTGAGAACTTGGAAATTTTGGTAATTTGGGAATTTGGTTATTTTGGTAATTTGGGAATTTGGGAATTTGGGAATTTG